ATTACTGCAACATAAGACTCTTAAATGATTAAACAATGATGGCAGCTAAACACATAGATATTTATCTGATTAAAATTATCACATACAGTATATAATATATAATTTTAAATTAAGATACTTGTACTATACTTTAAACTCTCATGAAGGCTCTACAAGATATACTGGATTGGCATATGAGCAAATTGAAAGAGGAAAACATATGTTCAGGTACAGTATGAATGTATGTGTAATGACCATTACTGCTGGATGAAGCTGCAGAGAAATTCTAATCTGCTAAAAAGAATTTAAAATAAAATATTAGAGACTGCTGCTGTGTTATTTATTCACATGTACATATATTCAATGAATACATTACCTTATGTCAGGAGCCCATTGGTGGCCCCTCAGTGGCTCCCTGAAGATATCTCGCTGAGATGGCTCCCCACTAATGGGTCACATCAGACCATGTAACGATGTGTATTGAATTTTGTAACTAGCACATCAAGACTGTAACTTGCTTAGCTAAATGAATTTTGGGGTTCAGTCCCTGAACCCATTATGTGCCTCTGTAACCCTTTCCACTACTGCACACAGGATGGGTATGGGGTGCATAATAAATTAACTATCACAGCCCCTGATTTTATTTGAAGTAAAGAAAATTGCAGAGGGGACGGCACTTACGATGCAGATATTGCTCAAAACAAGGCACTTGGGCCACCCCCTGACTGGGTGATGACACGTGCCCCACATATCCCCCACATGTTACGTTTTTCCTCACCTAGTTGTGCTTGTGGGGGTTGAGTTTTGGCTCTTTGGTCCCACCTCTCAACTGTCAACTGGTGTACAGATTCTCGTGTGAAGTTAGGTGAGGCCAACCCCAAGTGTCTGGCCTAATACGTGAGGCCAACCCCAAGTGTCTGGCCTAATATGTGAGGCCAACCCCAAGTGTCTGGCCTAATACTTCAAACACATACAATTATGTTTTGTAGATATTGATACATGTTATAGAAAAACATGGGATTCAGTTGATTCTAACAACTTGTATTACCAAACTTTAGGAAGAGTATGAAAACATTTTGTAATACAATACAATACAATTTTATTTAGGTAAGGTACATACATACAATAAATATTTACAAGGATTGTTTGACTTATAGGTAGAGCTAGTACATACAATGCCTAAAGCCACTATTACGCAAAGCGTTTCGGGCATGATAAACTTAAATGACAAGCTTAATACTAATTGAGCATAATGAGTAGAATGAAAACAAGAAATGAAAACATAGATGAAAAAGCAGCACAAATACAATTATGTCGACAAACAGCGCTCTTTAAAGAAAAAAAACAGACATTGGTTGACAATAGAAGGGTAAGGTAGGTTACAGGGAATTTATTAGGTATAGCTTCGCTTTTAACTTAAACTGGTTGAGAGAGGTACAGTCTTTAACATGGTTGGGAAGGTCATTCCACATTCTGGGCCCCTTGATTTGTAGAGCATTTCTAGTTTGATTAAGTCGTACTCTAGGAATATCAAAACTGTATTTATTTCTGGTGTGATGCTCATGGGTTCTGATACAACCTTCTATGAAGCTTTTGAGATCAGGATTGGCATTATAGTTTAGCGTTTTATATATGTATAATACACATGAGAGAATGTGCAGTGACTTAATGTCTAACATATTCAGAGATTTAAGTAGGGGTACCGAGTGATGTCTGGGGCCAGAATTGGATATTGTCCTAATAGCAGCTTTGTGTTGAGTAATTAGAGGACGTAAGTGATTTTGGGTAGTAGAGCCCCAAGCACAAATACCATAGTTGAGATATGGATAGATAATATCTGAATGAATTAAATATTAAAGTTATACAGTTGAGAGGTGGGACCTTAGAGCCAGAGCTCAACCCCCGCAAGCACAACTAGGTGAATACAGCAATGTACTTTTTCCCGTGTTGTGTATGAAGGAATACAGACTATAGATCAAGAGCAAGCAACTATGATGTCACGGGAGACATCTCCCGTCACGCAGGGTGCAGTCGCACCTCCACAGATTTTTTTTTTTTTTTTTTTGAGATATATACAAGAGTGGTTACATTCTTGTACAGATCTCTAGTATCATCTATTGATACTGGCTCAAAAGGGCCACCACTTATGGGCTATTCATGCCCGTGCCACCTTTTGGGTGGCTTAATCTTTATCAATCAATCAAGCTATGAGTTCATCTAATATCCTTTATCTCATGAGAAAAGGGAGTTGGCTTGACTGCCGGCAAACTCTAGTCATTGATATTAGGCAAGAGTGTGTACGTAAGTAATTATCAAAAGAAGGCATCAAGCCGGGAAGGTTATATAGCATTAGAGTGTGTAAGTGGCGCCATAGTAGCGGCATCATCATAATGGTCTACTGGCACCAACACATCCTTGTAGTTCATTATGCACCCCATACCCATCCTGTGGGCGGTAGTGGAAAAGGTTACAGAGGCACATAATGAGCTCGGGGACTCAACGCCACAGTTTATGTTGTTGATTTAGAGGCGATGACGACACAGTTTATTTATGTAAGTTAGTCAAACCAAATCAGGTAAATAAAGTATTACTGAGCCGCATAATATATGAACTAAACCAAACATGTTTCTTCGACTTCGTATTAATTTATACGACATATATTTTGTGATGAAATTGAGTATTAGTACAAATTTGTTGCAGATTATTTTTATATAAATCGATTCGATCAGTTGTACAATATAAGCAGCATTATATGATACATATTTGACCATTATTATTATATGATGATACCGTTTATCAACAAGAAATATACTGAATTAAAAAACTGCACATTGTGAAATATAATAAATATAATTCTAGTTGCTTATTATATATATTTTGAATACTGTGTAAAGACTAACATCAAATATGAGAGAGAGAGAAGGTGCGTGAGAGGGAGGAGGTTGGAAGTCGAGGGTCCAAGGGCGGTGTTGTTGTCACCAGAGCGGTCAGCGGCGGAGCCCAAGAGACTCCACCACCACCACCATGACGGTCGAGGCTATGGACGTGTCTACCGCCGACAAGGACAAGGACAAGGACGTCAAGGAGAAAGATAAAGACACTGAAGGGGAGAAAAAGGACCCAGATACGCTGACTCTGGAAGGTGAGGACGAGGTGATTGTAGAGGCCCGTGGTCTGGGATCTGTTGCCACAATGTATATGTATGTATGTATTTATACATACGTAAATACATATATACATACAAGAAGGTACATTGGGTTGCATGAGTACATAATATTGGTGTTCTTACATTCTTGCAAAGCTACTAACAAGCGCAGAGTTTCAGGCAGGTCCGTAATTAATCTAACTGTTAGAAAGTGAGAGTATAATAGGTATATTGTAATTATTTGATTACAACATAATAACTTCAATATACATTTATATTATTGATTGTACTGGTGATGTTGCACGTCTTGAATACTAAATTTGGGTGAGTGGGTAGTACTGAGATTGAAGCACTAACAGGGACTTTTGAAAGAAATGTTTCAGTGTCAGAGTAGTTAACAGATGGAATGCATTAGGCAGTGATGTGGTGGAGGCTGACTCCATACACAGTTTCAAATGTAGATATGATAGAGCCCAGTAGGCTCAGGAACCTGTACACCAGTTGATTGACAGTTGAGAGGTGGGACAAAAGAGCTAGAGCTCAACCCCCGCAAGCACAACTAGGTGAATTAGGTGAGTACAAGATAGGAAACTATGAAGATGCAATTAGGAACTTTTTGGTTTTACTTTTAAATAAAGCATTGGTTGGAGAAGTTTTAATTCAATAGGGAGAGACTTCCATAGATTGGCTCCTTTTATTTGCATTTGCATGCAAATGCAAATAGCCTTCAAGTACTGTTCCTATTTACTCCTAAGTGAACAGAGGCACCAGGTGAATTTAAACATCCAAACGGACTGCCCCACCTCGGAATGAAACCTGGGACCTTTGTTGTTCCCCGACCATTTGCCAAGTTTAATATTTTTGGATATGTTTGATACAGGCCCATAAAGCGTTGCCCATCTGCAAGTACCTCGGAAATTGCTGATGGTCTTGAGTGGCGCAGCAGCTGCAGCAAGTGGGGAGCTTAACCACTTAACTGTGCCAGCCGAGTATTCTCGGTCGGCGGGAAACTGCACCAACCGAGAAAACACTTTGATTTTTCCATACCTATTCTAAATGTGTGAGAGATTGGTTGTGTACGAAATGGACTCATAGGACCTCCAGTGAGAGGCAGCCATCTTGGAAAAAAATCCCAGAATGCTCTAGGGCTGCTGGCTGGGTTAGTACTGAGTGAGCAACCATGGGTGGCGCTCGCGCCTCTGGCTCCCAAACACCTGTCCAACGTGGTGTTGAAAGACAACGCTCTGTCGGTGAAATTCAAACCTTATTTTTTAAGAACATAATGGTCATAATATTGGTGAAGCTAGGCGCAATAAGGACCTAACACAAAGGTCGGATGTAAGTGATACAACACCTATGAGGACGATACAGAGAGCGTATCCAGTTGTAGCTCTGAGCGTCACCCTGCAATCCTATGCTATCTCCAATTTATTTAGATGATACATGATGAATCATTTTCTGCATTCAGTGATGATGCATCTGATACAAGTAGCATAGGTGAACAGTGTTAGCGGCTTCCATGGTGGTGTTTTCCATAGATATTTTCAAGAATACCTGAATCTCTTCCTGACTGACAGACACTCTGTGGCAAGCTGAATCTCCTCCTGTGTGGGACCATACAAAGCGATCTTTTCAAGACTACCTTACAAATTGATCTTTCTATAATCTTTTCAATACTTCCTTATGCTTTACAAGCTTGGCTACATACAACCTACAAGTACTAAAGCCAAGGGTGTACGTGAGTGCATTATTTGCAAGCACACAGAATGAAGAAATAGGAAGCAAAAATTTATTTGTACCAGGTGCACTGAGAGCAAAGTCGTGCTGTGTACCATGGACTACTTCATTGATTATTACTCACTTCCAAAGTACTGAGTGTGTAATACAGTGAATTACTGTGTAAATAGTGTGTGAAGCTGTACATATTGTACTTTTAGTGAATTTTTAACAAGTAATATTGCGACAATAAACATTTATTGTGGACACATTACTGACACATGTATCACAGTTCCATGGAACATTATGAACGTTCTACTGTATACATATTGTAAAGGATACAAATGTGCATCATATACGATAAAAAAACAAATAAAACCCCAATGGAAATACATAAAACAAATAATTTAAAATATATTTGTGGCAACATCCAGTGCTTGAATGACAGTTGCGACCGTATCTGGGCGAGTCACGCACGGGCGACCAGGCCCTGATGACGTCACAGCACACCTTGTTCACAGACATGTTCAGGGAAGGGAATTTATCATTTTACAAAGAAAAAAAAAATTTTTGGGAACACTTTATTTCATGCACACCGGGGGAATTTCACAATAAACTCAGTGCAGCACGGTGGTTAATAAGAGCTACTTAGTGCTTGACCGAGCTAAAACAATTCTTTAAACAAGCCCATCCCATCCCAACAAAATATAGTATATACAAATTTTGTACTCCCCCAGTTGTGTTTTATGAATACTGTGCACGAGGTGTGTGACCGAGTCTATTCCTCGGAGAGATTCCAGACAAATATGACGTGGTGTGGATGTTGTGCAGCATTGTCTAGTTGATTGTCCCTTTCTCTCAAAGGGGACTGTCATTTCTCTGCTCACTTGTCTATTTAACAGGAGATTCATGCTGAAAACTACAGGTACAGGTATTATATTTTATCATTTGGCTTTACAGGAACTTTTAAGAAGGGGTTTTGTTTTCTTATTCAACTGAGTAGCCTAAGGATACCTTTATTATAAGTCCAGTTCATTCTCGTTACGAGCTCTCTTTGTATCTGAATGCTTTATTACATTTCTTGGATTTGAAGAGTCTTGCCTTTTGTTGTTGATTGAGAGGCAACGACGATCGAGAGATCGGATGTACAACCATTTATGAATATACTTTATTCATAAATGGTTGTACAAATAAAGTTTTCCTAGTTTACAAAAGTTCAAATATTGTTCTGTACATTATGCGATAGCAATTACTGAATCAATTAACATAATTGTGTCATTGATTATGGTACAATACAGTAGTTTTAAAGTAATTTTTGCATTGCAATTCTCATTGCCCCTTAATAAATATTTCGTTTTCAGATTTGAAAGAGCAAATCCGCTTAGTTGAACGCAGTATTGTCAGCAAAGAGCCTCGCTTTGTTCTACGTGTTCTTCGTGCATTACCTGCCACAAGACGGAAATTGACACCAAATGTGCTGCGACGCTTGGTTGCTGTATATTATGGTCGTCCAGAAAGCAAGCAGGAGCGCGAGACCATCTTGCAGTTCATTGAAGAACCCATGGATTTAGATACTGTTCCTCAAGGCAAGTTGTAACATTATTGATAAGCCTATGGACTTGGATACTGTTTATCAAGGCAAGCTTCAACATTTTAAATAATTAAGGAATATTTTTGCGACCTGCTGCGTACCAAGCGGTGCATGTGAACTCCCCACCACCCACAAATGTTTATACTCTTTTTAGCTTTCTGCCCTCAGTTTTCGTGCTATGTCGTTCAATTTGGTACTCTGTATCAAATTGTTCGCAATAGAATGTTCTAAAGGAATATGTGCACATAAAAAGATACTGGTCTCACTTTCCTATACTGTACTGTACTTTAGACCCGCCACTCACTGTAAGGTAGCCCGAGCATTGCCTGAGAGCACACCACTCCAATGTTTATTATCTTTTCAGCTTTTTCACCTCAATTTATGTGCTATGTTCTTCAGTTTGGTATCAAATTTTTTGCCTTAGAATGCTGCAAAGGGATATTTGCATACAAGAACACAAATCTCGCTTTTCTATACTTTCAACATAACTCGATAACTTTTCTTTCAATGCTTTCGTCATGGATTTGCTCTGTTCTTGATCAGTATCCATCTGGAAGTCAATTTGCAGCGTATATAAAGCCGGTAACAACAAATACCTGAGAGAAAATAACCAGAATGGGGAAACTTTTTGACTCGAGGGGAGGCCGCAGCTGTCATGAGTGAGGTCATGAGAACGGTGAGCTTCCAGCCTAGGTGGGGGACCACATGGCGGGGTTAAAATGCCACGTGAGGTATACAGAGAATGGGAATAAGTTGGCACACATTTTAAAACAAGTCCCATAGTACTGTATTCGGACAATAAATAGAATTTTTACAAATTTTTAAATTATTGACACTGTCATCCCGCATACTCCGTATCTTGGTTGTATGACAGAATATGCGGCATTAGGCAGCGAAAATGTTAACAGTACGAGATTATAATGGGTCATGAAATTCTTTTGACTTACATGGGTGTGAGTAAAAGCAGCGGAGGAAGGGATCCTGTCACATTAAATTTAGTTTTTAAATTTATGTACACAGCTGATAAAAATAATTAATATTAATAATGTTTGTAGGTCCTGTGGTACGTCAGCGTGGTCAGCTGTTGCTCGAGGTGGATGTTTACATTCATCTTCTTGTACTACTTAGACTTCTGGATGTTAATAACAACGAAGATGCTATCAAGTGCTCTGGTAAGTAGCATTGATAGAGGATGATGCGAGGTTGTGTATAATAGTGTATGAAGTAAATTTTATACTCTTTATTACTGTATCATTTTCATTTTACATCTAAATTGTGATTCATGGATGATTTGTATTTCATCTTCATTACTAGATGATTCTGACTTCATATGTTCCTAAAATATTTGGTTAAATTTATCACGAAGAATTTTTAAATATGTAACAGGACATAGTTGTGCAAGTTTTTCAATTGTATAGTGCCGCTTTTTTAATCCTTTGTACCCTTGAAATAATTCGGGTTGTACTTTAGATAAACCCATACGGTTTTCATTGTCAACTGAAAGGAGACGATTTGTCTTTGCTCTTGATACTGGTTATGTGAGAAAAATTAAACACAAAAATGACTGCTCACACACACACTCTCTCGTGCACTCTCTGGTGAGTCACCTTTGACATTCATGACTATACAATTTGCAGAATGTGAACTGTGGCAAATATTGTGTTGAATAACTGGTTCTAGTATCAGGCTTAGACCCTTCATACCAACATAAAAACAGAATTATGTGCAGAATAGAGGTTACCTTGTTTCACTACTATGAAATATGCTACATATGTTGTAATGCTTGGCGACACATCTGACAATGCATTCCTTCTATTGGCTTTGTGGTATGTTCTGTTGCCCCGAGAAGGACCTCTTTGCACTGGTGTCAAACTGGTGTCAAACTGTTCCTTGTTAAGTGGCTGTATTCGGACAATAAATAGAATTTTTACTAATTTTTAAATTGTTATCCGATTATGCCTTTCAAATGGATTGAAGTCTATGGGAATTTCCCTGTCTCCTCTTGGTGGTTCAGTTGTTGCTTCAGGTTCTTTTCAGAATGGAGACACTGTTTAGCAGGATTCTCCTACTGGCTCTCTTTTGGATAACAAAATGCGATTTCCTGCACTTTGGGCTCATTGTCTGAACCCACAGTTTTCTGTGGCTCGCCTCTTTCAGCCAATTGGCCTGGAGATGCTCCTCAGTTCAAAACTTTTCTGATCTACTCATCTAGAGTTTTAACTTCCCTGTACCATTCATTGTATGATCCACAGGTGGCCAATCTGATCGTGTCTCACATGCAGCTTTCATTTTGGTGATAGTACTAGTATTAGTGTGCATGGCACTCCTTCCACCTCTTTCCGATTCTTTGTTACTTCTTGGTTTGTTCTGGTGGTTCTTTTGTTATTCCTTGGTTGTTTGTAGATTGGCTTATCATGCTGAATACTTTTGCCGTGTATTTTTTGGCCTTGGCAGAGTCGCTGTCATTTGTATTCAGCATCAAGGATTTGTTAGTGCTGTTTGGCAAGTTGTCTAGGAAGTATTTTGATCTTCGACGTGCTCATGTTCTTTCTGAGCCTTCCGAGTCTCTGGATGAGGTTTTTATATTTTTTCTCTGCTGTTTTCTGTCACCCCTTTAGTCTGGAATTGTTTTTACAAGACATTTTGTGGGCTGTCATTTCCATTTATAGGGGGAACCTCATGCTTTCCTCCAGAAACCAGGGCTTTTGCTCTTTTGGGTTCTGGTACTCATTTTCTTTGTTTGCAGTCATCGTCTTTTTCTGGTTAAGAATGAGTGCTGGCTTCCGAAGGGGTTATCATCTCTGTGCTGCTAGTGGTGAAGGTGGAGATGTTGTTTGTTGACTTGTTTTCCCCAAGTTTTCCTTGTTCTAGGGGCCCAGTTATTTCAGGTTATTTACAGTATCAAGGTCAGCCAGCCTGCAGTCTACCCCAGTCTAGTTGTTTGCAAGCTTTTCTGACCCGAGGATGCAATGTGCATCTTTCTTGGATGAGGGTGATGTGCAGCATTATCAAGATTTATCTTCAGCTTCATCAAATTTTTAATGCATCAATATTCATAATTATTAAACAGACACTGTTCTTCTTGCCAGTGGTTATTTTTATCATTGGGGTCTTTCCTAGTTTGATATACATAGGTATTTCATATACAGTATATAAAATATATTTTTAAGTTTTTGTGGGGTACACCTGCCATTTTAATTCTAAAGTTTTACACAGATATTGTGTATTACAGATTTGCTGATGACTAAAGTGACTTCAGTGAACCGTCGCACCCTTGACCTCTTGGCTGCTCGCTGTTACTTTTATCACTCGCAAGTCTATGAAGTTAATAAAAGATTGGATGAAATTAGAGGGTGAGTTTAGTATACAGCACATTTAGTAAATACTAATTAACTGAATCAATTATTTTTTAGTGACATATCCAAATGTATTTTACAAATGACTTTACAGAATAAGAATTAGAATTAGGAACTTTATTTGTAATAACTTGCATAAATATTTACAAGAGTGGCTGGTCCAAACAGGTCTACAGCAGTGTAAATCAAACTTACGTTTGTAGGCATTTATTAAATAAAAAATTAAGATAAGATTGTTTAAGGAGAATTAAAATAAACTAATTATATCCTAGTTATAGAAAAATTTGAACACTCGGTATTTAACGTCAGCAGATTTTGGGACTGTCCTGGATCAAAATTACTCTGAACACTCAACTCCTGTTTCATAGCTCTGATTTAAAATGCTTGTCAGTAAGCCATCTTTTTGTGACAATAGTTCATTCATAATTTAATATATCCATTTGGGACTCTCCCTATTTTCTCTGCTAATGATTGTTTAATTTTTCCCTGTATACCTGCTACTGTATAGCATTATATACATCACTCATTCTTAAGTTGTATTTCCTATTAGTTAAGTTATTCCTGGAGATGAGATGTGAATGGATGGGATGGGAGGGGGTTTGTGGTTGAGCTTCCCACTGTTAATACACTACTGTACATTGAGTTATTTTAGGCTTATATAAGATGAAAAATGGTCATCAGCACACTTTTTGCATCACCATCCTCTAACTGGCAACTGTGTTTGCTCATGACAACAATATTGTGTGTGTGTGTTGACTGGCTTGTATCTTGGAAGCCACAAAGCAAAAAAAAATGGTATATCTATATGGCAGGCGGCATGGTGCATTATTATGCTTTGGTGTTTTTCAATACAATTAAGATTATTTGCTGGCCAATGGCTGGAGCTTTGGCAATCATTGCAAAAGTATCTGGTAAAAAAAAAAAAACTCATGTCACACTAGAAAGTATCTATCCATGTATAGATAAATGGATATCTATATATGGATAGATATCCATAAATCCACTTGATACATTAGTCCTTTTAAATCTTACATCTGAAAAAATTTACCAATTTCTGTAAAATGTGTGCCTCTTAATGGTTACATATTTAATATATATTTTTATATACAGTATTCCATATTGACACGTACTATAATTATACGGTATATTTGAAGATGTCCAAGTATTTTTCAGGGTAGTTTATTCAAAGTTACAAGCTTAAGAAGTTTTTTAGTGCAAGTGATCAGTTATTGCCTCAACAACAATCAGTTGATACCCAGCAGCCGTATCCTGGTTGAATGAATAGTAACCATCATGCCTTAACATGACCATTACAGAGACAATGGATGATTTAAAATTACAAGACGTGGGGGCCTGACAGCTGAGTGGACAGTGCTTCAGATTCCTAGTACTGAGTTTCCGGGTTCGATCCCCAGTGGACGTGGAAACAAATGGGCAGAGTTTCTTTCACCCTGATGCTCCTGTTACCTAGCAGTAAATAGCTACCTGGGAGTTGCTGCTATGGGCTGCTTCCTCGAGGTGTGTAACAAAAAGGAGGCCTGATCGAGGACAGGGCTGCAGGGACGCTAAGCCCCGAAATCATCTCAAGATAACCTCGAGAAGATAACATGAAATGTTTTATGATCATTTCAGATTTTTGCATCAGCGACTGTGCCAAGCAACACTTCGTAAAGACCATGAGGGACAAGCCGTGCTCATCAATTGTCTGCTGCGTAACTACCTACACTATTCTCTCTATGATCAGGCTCAAAAGCTGATTGTTAAACTAGAATTTCCTCAGCAGGTTAGTAAAGTAGTTTTGAATTCACTTTTCTATTAGGGAAGAAAATATGGCATTGATTTAAATTAAATTTTCCAAGTTGTTCTCCCAGATCCTAGGGGTCGACCCAGGACACTATTGTATTTCCCACTCTAGGCTCTAGTCGACTTTTCTGCCATAGTGGCAAGTAACTTTTTCAATGGTTTTGTCAAGTATTATTGTGAGGGAACATTGGAGTGTACTCACCTAGTTGTGCTTGCAGGTGTTGAGCTTTGGCTAGTGTGTGTGTTTGTGTGTGTACTCACCTATTGTGCTTGCGGGGGTTGAGCTCTGGCTCTTTGGTCCCGCCTCTCAACTGTCAGCATGTGTGTGTGTGTGTGTAACCACTGCTGTATGACACATGCAGGACAATGCACTTGACACCCTCTGCAAGCAGTCATTGGAATTGTATGGTAATTTAATTATTGCTCTGCTAACTACTGATTAGTACTAACTGCTACACTAGTTGTGGCCAGGTAGCAGCCCAAGTCAACCGGGAGCTGGTAGCCCTCACATAGGTCCCAGGCCACCCAGGATGGCAGGAATGTTAGACCAGACCTGAAATGAGCATTTCATTTCACTCGCTCTTTATCTCTGACTTTGATTCCTTTGGTTGCTAACCTAGCCAACTATATCCCACAGTGAACATACAACTGAAATGAAGATACTCAAAAGAAAAAGCATTACTGTACAAAGTTTACCATAGTAGAGACTGAACTCAGACGAGCACCACTTTGGTTCGTGGAAAGAGGCCAGAGAAAAATCAGCGTCTCGTGGATGGTAGGATTGAACCTGCAATTAGGGTCAACCCAGATGCATGCCTTGGCAATGAACCATATGCTGAAAAGTTTGGTGAAGAACTCCATTACACCAGACTGTATGCCAGTTACATAAAAATTGGATTGGGTACTAGCTCAATACCTCCAAATTTGTAGTGCAGGAGCTAAAGTGACTGTATCAGACTTAAGAAAGGCAAATGGGACAGAAAAGCCATATAAGAGATAATAAAAAATCCAAAATACTTTTTCACCTAGGTGTAGAGTATATGATCCAAGTTTGTGAAACAAAGAGGGTATTAATACAAATTGGTTGCACTTTATATGCCTACATAGCTTAAGAATAGGGAAGGAAGCCATGTGAATAAGCAGCAGCAGAGAATCATGTACAAAGACAAGGGTATTGTATATAAGTGAAATTTGGCTTCCAAGTACCTATACAGGAAGTGTAGGGAAGGACTATAATTCAGAAAGAAGAAAGTTTAATAATTGCTGTGTAAAGTAATTGGAGCCAAACATTTGTATGGTGCAAGTTGGTGGGGGAGGAGACTGTAATGGAGAAGTATATGGGAAATAAGTGGCAGGTTTATGATATGCAGGGGTAATAATGGGTCAAGGAAAAATTTGTGGTGTGTATCTTGATAGGATAATTGGTGGGTACTGTATACCTGTTTGAAAGATATAAAAAATATGTCTTAAGTGCATGAGGTTAGAATGATAAACAGGTAACCAACATCATGTAGAGAGAAAATGGAGCTTATGGTATTTGAGGGGGTATAGAGCAGCCTACAGATGTGCTAAAATAATGCTTCCTGAGGCTTTTGCTACAATAGAGATGGACAGATTATTTGTCTGTTAAACTGACTTAAATATTAAATAAAAAACTTGTGTTATCTTGCCACAACATGAATGTGGGAAATGGATAATGAAAATTGGTGGTGTGGTTGAAATGTTGTTTCTTTATTATTTATTGCAGGCAAACAATAATGAAGTAGCACGCTACCATTATTATATGGGACGCATCAAGGGAATACAACTGGAGTACTCGGAAGCCCACAAACACCTGATTCAAGCTCTGCGTAAAGCTCCACAGCAAACAGCTGTGGGCTTCAGACAGTCTGTACAGAAATTGGCAGTTGTGGTGGAACTACTCCTGGGTGACATCCCTGAAAGACAGGTACAGTATGTTTTAACAATCACTTGTATGGGACATCCGTAACTGACAATTTAAACTTTGAATTTTACCAGTCATCTTGCACACAAATATGCATGCAATCATGGGAAACACATTCTACATTTATATTTGCTTTGTTTCTTTTTAATATCTTTCATATGTGTGCATTTATTTATAGTTTGGCATATTTGGTGTTCCTAACTTTTTTGCCTTTAGTTTTAGGGAACTTGTTAGTACTGTTTCTCCTTTACCCAAAGTAGTTGACTACTGATGCTAAGACTAATGACACACTGCAGTGTGTACAGAAACAGAATATTAAACTGACGTGAAGCTTTGTTGTACAGTTTTCAGAATTTCCAGTGTCATTTGCCAACTTTTGTTATTGCCAAGTTTTTATCTAAATTTATACAGTACAGTATATGGCTATGATACATCTATGTAGTATGTATGTAATGGCGTTCCCAAGATCCTTGATAATAACTGACCATTTTAAGGGTTAAGGCTTATAATGGGGGTGAATAATTTGTGGACATCCTGTGCTGTATATTGATGAATTGGATGTTGTATGTAAATTTGATAATACTGGCTTTTATAAACCATTTTATTTAGCATTTAGCATAATTTAGCATAATAAATTCAGGTGAAGTAGACAAATATTTAGCTACGCAGGTTTTGTAATAATAATTATCTTGTTTTATGAATTTGACATTGGTAAATATGATTATTTTGAATATTTCATAATGTTTGAGATTTTGTGTACTGTATTTTGTTTAAAAATTAAGTTAATCACCAAAACATTTTAATCCTCAGATTTTCCGGCAAGCTATTATGCGGAAAGCTCTGGCTCCATATCTGCAGCTGACTCAGACTGTTAGGCTCGGAAACCTGGTGCACTTCACCAATACTCTTAACGAGTACAAGAGTAAGGTGAGTTGAAACTGTCTCACAATCCTTAGTAATAACCAATGCAGAACTAGGAATATATTGACATTCATTTGTCTCATCCCGTGTGCTTTACAGACTCTTAAGATAAGGTAATTATCATTAGAAAGCACTAAGCCATTATAGCTACATAGCACTTGGAAAGGATAAGGATTTTGGAGCAGAGGAGGCTCTGCTCCAAAAGCCTCTAGGGCAGAGGAGAGGAATGGTGCCCAACCACTTGGACAGTCGGGGATTGAATTCCGACCTGCAAGAAGTAAGGCCATTGCTTTACTCTCCAGTGCAAGTGGACTGGACAGTAGAGTGATGGTCACTTAGGGCTCAAGACCCTTAAGTGACCAACCCGTCCTAATAGAACGTCACATTTTGATGTACACTATGTAAGGCCAAAAATTGTCATATTAGAGGATGGTAGTGGCCTGCAAAATTGGTAGTGTACTGTCCTGTTTCTGTTTTGGGTCCTCTGGTAGGTTAGGGTATGGCATTTTAGCGTGAGTTTTTTTTTTTTTTTTTTTTTGACTGGCACCCTTAGGAGGATGGGCTGAATTAACAATAGAAACACCATTAAACAGCATTGCAGGAAAAGTTCATAATTATGCTTACATGCGCACACAAATAAACATGTAACTATATTTAGATTGATCATTTTGATAAACTTACAGGAAGCCCTTCATTTATGTGAGGGTTGCATTCCTGAAAAATGTGTGTAAAGTTGAAACTAGATGTGGAATAGGATTGAATGCTGACCTGCAAGACACTCGCGTCCGACCTGTATTTGGGACAAATATTTTTGTTCCAGAGACCTCCCTATGTTCAGTTTTTCTACGTAATAAAATATTTATTTGATTATTAATATTTATTGCATTCTCTACTTTACAGCCACTAATACAGTGCATTATGCACTTTGCATACTTGAGATGTGCAATGATATAAGATATACCTGTATTCCAGAAGGTTTGTTTAAATATCAGGAATGTTGTGTATGGCATCCAGTCATGCAGCAAATATGTTAGACCAGCAAGTCATATGGTAATCCATGTTGAACCAGGATAACAAATATTTAGCATGCACACGTTGCAACTTGGTAACAAGTGCTTGACACCAATTCCACATTTTTCAATACAATGAAAATCAAGGGTGAGCTTGTGAGTGAATGTAGCTTTTCTGGACCTGCTGTTTGATATATAGGCTATTTGAAAGGATTGATTATTCTGATTAGGGTTTTGATTGCATATATGTGTTAAACATTCAGGTTAGTTTATTGAATAAGTATTTTTGATTTTTGCATTAAATTATTAATATTTCTGTTTTTCAGTTCCAGCATGATCACACATTTATGCTGATTCTTCGTTTACGCCACAATGTGATTAAGACCGGACTTAGAGCTATATCCTTGTCATATTCACGTATATCTCTGGCAGATGTAGCTTCTAAGCTTACCCTTGGGTCACGAGAAGATGCAGAATTCATCGTAGCCAAAGCAATTAGAGATGGAGTAATCGAGGTAAGCAGTAGTTGTCCAAAAATCCTGTATGTCTTGCAGTATACAGTTTTTCTGGTTAAAAGTAAAGACCTGAATAAACATACAAGTTAGTAAGTGCAGTATAAGCGAGAGATGTGTGTCAAATAGCATGTCTATCCATTGACCAATAGACGTACATTTAAAAAACCTGGAAAGTGATGACACTTTTAGAGTGTATTGATCTTGTAGTGTATTAACTTTTGTACTCCACATCTGTCCATGACTTCTTTACTCTATTCACCATACACTACTCTTGCTTATCAACTTGTCCATTTCAGCTGCTCTAATTCTGTATTTTTCACTTGTGCATATATATTTTCTAAATTGTCCCCTGTACATTGAGCACTATAACAAACCATAGGGCAGCGTTCAGCTGGATATACGTGTGTAGACATATTTTGCCATATACATATTTCACTGCTTGATGTATTAGCTGTTGGTAACAGGAGGCTAATATCAGCTTTCATTCTAGGCTGTGATTGATCATGAGCACGGCTACATGCAGAGTAAGGAAACTGTGGATGTATACTGTACACGTGAGCCACAGTCGGTGTATCATCAGCGCATCTCCTTCTGCTTGGATATTCATAACCAGTCTGTGAAGGCAATGCGCTATCCACCAAAATCATATAACAAGGACTTAGAGAGTGCCGAGGTGAGAATTATTTGAATCTACTGCATCTAAAGGGAGTATTGGAGCATATATTGTGTTTAATAAATTGCAATGTCTCTGCATTCATTTCTGTATGATTAAAATATTTATGTATGTAAAATAAAGTTGCCAGCCACAATTTCAAACAGAAAATAGAGATTGAAAAATCAAGCAGATAGAATAAGTGTTTCTGGCAAGTTGTTGGGAATAATTTAAATTATCACAAGAATGAATTACAATAATGAATAAAAAAGTAAGAACTTAGCTAATTTTCATGGCACAAGTTTTAGTGGGCTAATGTGAAGTTGGAGGCTTATGGAAGAAGCACTCCAGAAATAGTTAATAAAAGATGATAAATACGATGACCTTTGATTATTATTATCGAAGTCTGTGTTACTGTTTTTGTAATTAGATTTTTATACTGTATTTGTAAACTGATGAATTAATTTTATATTTCCAGGAGAGACGAGAGAGAGAGCAACAAGATCTAGAATTGGCAAAAGAAATGGCAGAGGAGGATGATGATGGTTTTCCATAGAATTAAGAAAAACCATGCAGTATTTCGGTAAAAACTGTTGAAGTATAACATTCATAGAAGACCATTTTTGTGGAAGTACTCTTCGGAAACTTTTGTATCAGAATGAAGTTACTAATTGATTTTGTTTAGTAATAAATTAATATGTTAAACTAAAATATTTGTGTATTTATATTCAGTGTCATATACATAGGATAATTTTTGTGCAAATAAAGGGTAAAATTCAATTACATTTTTACAAATACTAGCCTGTTTACTGTTAAATAAAAATATTGTCCATTTAGAGGGAATGTTTGGTTCACATTAAACACACAACACTCAATAAAGGATCCATACTCGGCAAAATTAGAGACAGGTCATAGCTTAATTGGTTATTTTGCTGGATTTCATTCATGCATCATTTCAAGCTTCAAAAAGGGAAAAATAAAATTTGATAAAACAAAATGATGCCCAATTTGCTTCATCAAAATTTTTTTGTTATTGTAAGATGGGTTTTCAAGCCATGCCTTACCCCCCTTTCCCTCTCATTTGTATAACAAAGGGATGCAAGGCTGAATTCACCACATAGCAGTGGGGTTTGCCACATCTCTTACTTAATAGATTTATTAAAAATAGTGTCCCATAATCTTGTGCTGGAGGCTAATTGCAATTCGCCAATTATTTCTACACGGTTTTATTGCCGTTTGTAAATATATCTACTCAATCATGCTCTCATGGGAAAGCTCTTGGCATCACCTTGGAAGAATTGAATACTACAATATTAGAAGGCTGGGCTAAAGATTGTAGAAACAAATAATTGACCTATGAAATGATTTTAGGAGAGGTCGGTTCAGAATGACAAATCTCTTATTACCATTTTCACATAGCATGATAAGAAACGTTTTCCACTAACTGCTATTCTGTGGACTAGATATCGAGGATTGTCCTTTTCCTGATCAGTGTGTGCTGAAAATTTGGTCATGGTTTACTTTATTATTTCTGAAGCTCGGTGGTCACTATAAATCTACTTAAACAGTCCAAACAGCTCGCTGCATGAATTATGGTGGTGGTCACCGTACTTTTTCTAGTTTCTGACCATTATAATTTAAAACAATAATGCAACACATTTCCCTCCTCAAGGTGAGATAATATTTAATGAAATAAGAGAAAATAATTACTAAGTATATTCAAGGGAACCAAAGTCAAATTGTAAAGATGCTTCAGTTGTATCTAACCAGGTAAAAAGAGAGGACTGGCCCATGTAAGCCAGAGTGAGGCCATCTTCTCGGTAATGGAAGATGTGTGTGGCATTTTAAATGGGTAATGTATCTCGGATTTTTTGAATGCCTCTAGTTTGAACAATATACAGGGGAAGTTAAAACAAGATGATAGGTAAACTAATAATTACTAATGGAAGTTAGTAAGTAAAACAGAAACTCAGACATACAAAATTAAAATGCCAAAAGTTTTTGGAGTACCAAAAACAACCGTAACATCGAATGAATGAGAAGAATTTTTTTTTTAGGTTCAAAACTGAATGCTAATATTACTATTTAGACTGTCAAAGACCTTACTACAAAGGCATTGCCAAAAAAGCACCGAATATTGCACTAATTATAGGAGGAAAAAGACACTGCTGAAAGTGTCGAAATCGATCAATATGCTTTCTTGGAGAACACCACATGCTTGAACAAACACGTGAATTAATGCCTGTTAGGATGCCCCCTCACTGGGAGGAAGAACCACTATGATTCAAATATATGAGATTGCCAACGAAGAAGGCTAGCATATTCCTTTAAGAATAGACATGCATAGCTCGAGAAAATAAAGAGGCAGGAAATGAATTAGATGAAATCTACACAGATATATCTGCTAGCCTTACTACTGACAGCGCTGGAGCAGTATACACCAATCAGAAATACTGCCTTCTACAACGAAAATGAAGGAAAGAATGGATCGAGAACCAACCTTAACGCAAGCAGGTCAGTAGGCACCCAAGGGGAGACCTGGATAAGCTTAAGAGGCTTGATCCGTCCCTGACTGGAAAACCATACCATATAAATTATTGTGAAACTATGAAGAAAAGATGACTATCCATGAAATTGTGAAAGTTTCGCGAAGACTAAAAACACAATTTAAATTACGCGAGTAAAAAAAGGGCACGAGTGAAAAGTACAAATAGATTAAAGGTTTAACAATGAAGACATAAATATGATTTTGAAAATATCCCAAGACAACACACTGACAATGGATTCAAATTCGACAATTGTGGTTAAAAAAAATAAACGCCAAGAAACAAGTTTGCAGATCTGAAATAAATTACCAAGTGACATCACAGAAATAACCTCAGCAGAAATTTTCAAGCATAGGTTGGTTAAGATCATGAGATGGAGTGATTGTATATACAAAATTGCCTTACATGGACCAATAGGCCTCCTGCAGGGGCTTTTATTTCTGTGTTCTTATTTTCTCAACAAGGCTGAGACTCACCACCACCAGGCTGGAGACTCACCACCACCAGGCTGGAGACTCACCACCACCAGGCTGGAGACTCACCACCACCAGGCTGGAGACTCGCCACCACTAAACTGGAGACTCACCACCACCACTAGACTGGAGACTCACCACCACCACCAGACTGGAGACTCACCACCACCAGACTGGAGACTCACCACCACCAGACTGGAGACTCACCACCACCACCAGACTGGAGACTCACCACCACCACCATTCTGGATACTCACCACCACCAGACTGGAGACTCACCACCACCACCAGACTGGAGACTCACCACCACCACCATTCTGGATACTCACCACCACCAGACTGGATACTCACCACCACCAGACTGGAGACTCACCACCACCAGACTGGATACTCACCACCATCAGACTGGAGACTCACCACCACCACCACCACCAGACTGGATACTCACCACCACCAGACTGGAGACTCACCACCACCACCACCACCAGACTGGAGACTCGCCACCACCACCAGACTGGATACTCACCACCACCAGACTGGAGACTCACCACCACCAGACTGGAGACTCACCACCACCAGACTGGAGACTCACCACCACCACCATTCTGGAGACTCACCACCACCAGACTGGATACTCACCACCACCAGACTGGAGACTCACCACCACCACCACCACCAAACTGGAGACTCACCACCACCACCACCACCAGACTGGAGACTCACCACCACCACCAGACTGGAGACTCACCACCACCACCACCACCAGACTGGAAACTCACCACCACCACCAGACTGGAGACTCACCACCACCAGACTGGAGACTCACCACCACCAGACTGGAGACTCACCACCACCAGACTGGAGACTCACCACCATCAGACTGGAGACTCACCACCACCAGGCTGGAGACTCACCACCACCAGACTGTAAACTCACCACCACAAAAAAGTGTAAAGCAGAACATTCTTGTCTTCAGCAAACCGCCACCAATTACAGACTACACCACCCAACAAACTTTATGATAGAGACAAAGCAATCTTCAACAAATATATAAGAAACGTTTAATATTTGCAAGGTTGCAGGTTGTGGAGCTCTTAGCAGGCTGGTTATGTCCGTGTGTTTGGGCTTCACGTGGCTCTAACAGCACCTAAATGTAATGGGTCGAGAAATCTCTATCTCCTGCCATTATGGTTACGGCTGGCTATAATGTTTGTAATCAACTATGATGGTTGGCACAATGGTCCTGGGCGTTAACATCACCTGCCTCGCCTACAACAGAAAACGAACCAATTTTTCCTCATGTTAAAAGTAAAGAAAATCTGGCTATAAAGGTTAGGTATAACTTCGATGAAAAACCCTTCGTTTGTACCGTGTAAAGCCTGCCACTGTAGTGAATGTAATACTTATTTTTCCATTTCTTATTAAATATTTGGAATATTTGGTGTAGCACAGTTAGTCGTTGTATTACATCTATTTTTTATTCAAATTTATTACGTACAGACAGCTGGTATAACTTCATTATGGCCAAGTCTATAACCCAATACCAGAGTATGAAGAACGTGCAGGGATACACCGAAACGTGTCCTCGCCTCGCTGTAAGGCTTTAAGGCCAACACTGAATTTGCTGCTTGACCAATATCCAAAAATATAATGACCAATAGATTATAATAATATATTGCTGTGGCCTTAATTAATAATCTTCCAACGGTCGACATGGACCTTAAGCCCAACACCAAACTATCACTATGCCAGGGCGTCTAGCTAGCCTATGGTTAGGATAACATTTCTATCTGCAAGCTACATTTATTCTATGGTCGAAGTTCTCGGTTGGAAGGTCATTAGCACTGCACCGGACCTGACAACTGGCGTTTGAAGCCTACTAATTAATATTGGTTGTCCACTGCGAGGAATCCGTTGAGGGTAACTACCCTTTATCAGTCTTAACATATCGAGGCCTCTATTCTTTGTTAGGTTGCCAAAATTTGGCAACTTCGATTATATATATATATATATATATAGAAAAAAAAATGTGGGACTCGTTTCAGGCCAACAAACCCGAAAAGAAGGAGGCAAACGCCCCTTTGATCCTTTGATGTGCGGAAACTGTCTCCCTTAAAACGGCTGTAATTCCAGGGCTTTGAACTACTTCAATCCTTGCTTAGTTAAGAAAGTTGTTGATGGCATGGTTATTATCATCATTTTAATGTAGGTCCGGAGTTTGCTGGAGTTGCGTAGTTCTGTTATGATATGCCTGAAACGGTATGCGTGTCAGTGGCTTTGCAAGAATGTAAAAATACTAATACTGTATTATGTATTCTCACAAACCCATTGTACCTTCTTGTAACTAAATAACTAAATAAATAAATAAATATTGAAGACTCGACCCATGTGACAATGATACCTCAGAGGACTCGTCTACTGCCAGGATTTGTTCGGCATACGTTGCGCTGGGACATGAGTGAGGGCGAGTTATTTAACAAATTAGTTCAGTTTACAGGTGGTCATCATAAACAATATCCAAATTCTCGTTAATCCATCACCAAACACATTTTTAGACATCCTCACAGCTGATTTTGTTCGAAGTTTTGTTAAACAGCGAAGCGGTGTTCAGCAAAACAAATGCCTGTGTTTGAACACCATAATAATAATAATAATAATAATAATAATAATAATAATAATAATAATAATAATAATAATAATAATAATAATAATAATAATTATAATGATCATTTAGTCGAGGACAGGAAGCCTGTGTTCTTTA